GGCAGCCAGCCAAGTGTCTGAATTGGTGGGTGGGCATTAAGAGCCCAAGGGGCAAAGAGAGTCCCTCTTGTGGGTCAAGCAGCCGGTGGACCTGGAAAAAAGAAGAAATTAGAAGCTCAAGCTTCTAATTTTTTTGGTGGGGTGAGGAGGGGAGGAAGAGGGGGAGTTGGCCCTGAAAGAGCACACAAATGAGAAGGATAGAAGTAGCCCACTAACATCCTTGTCTTAGAATAATGTTAGTGTGATTCTGCTTACTGTTTCCTGTTTCGACACAACCCCCTGTATATGCTTTGGTAGGGGGTGTAGAGGACAGCGCTGTCTCTGGGAGGTGAGTAGGACTCCCATTGGGGCTGACATATAGGGCAAGGGGGTTCCTTCAAGCTAGGGTTTCCCGTTCTTGCAGACCAAAGCTCTCTTCAGACTGAGCTCAGATGCATTTGACCCACAGGTGGGGTAGAACTGCACTCTTACTTGCAACCCAGACAACAGCATTGGATGAAAGCAAACCAGGCCATTTCATAAAATATATAAAATAAACACAATTCACACTAAAAGCATGTTTTGAGAATTTTGCACCAGTCTTTGCTTGTTTTCCTCTTCTCCATCCCACTCCCCCTTCCCTTCTTTCCTTTTGCACCATGCCTTTTTAGACCGTAAGCCGGATGGCAGGCAGGGACTGTGTTGCTTTCATTGATTTGTAAGTCACTCTGGGAACATTTCCAGCCGAGGAATGGGTTACAAATGTTTTGAATGAATTGTTAAAAAATGTTTTTCTTTTTGATAGCTTCAGGGGTTGGAACCCTTATTGCTTGGTCTTCTGGGAAGAGAGTAAGTGGTAGGGGTTAGAGCAGTCAGGGATTGTGCTGATGGGTGATTCTCTGGATAAATCATTGCTCATTGGGGAGTTCTGCCTTCCTACCTGCAATACCCATCCAGCTGATTGGAAGTCATTTACTCAGGTATTTTGCTTGGACTAAGCCCAGAGTGCCTTTGCTTATTAGTGTTTCTCTGTACTTATGGAGGCACATAAATAGACACACACCCCAGCCCCTCCTTCATAACATCTTCTCCTAATTACCAGCCCCACTGTTTATCTGTAGCATTGACATAGCTGGAGTTGGGACTCAGGTCAATTGACCAGTCAGATACCAGTCAATTGACTGCCTATTATTTGACTGTGGTCAAATGATCTATGAAATAAAGAAGGCCCATGTGAATGTGGCAGTCAGCTGCTTTATTGCATCTGGATAGCAATAGCAGGAACAAGGGTTGCTTACACACTTTCTCCTCCCAATTAATCAAAAAATCCCAGCCTTTTCCGTTGACAAAACCAACTGCCAGCGTCTTTGAACAGGGACATGCAGAATTCAGGAGGAAACGTGGAGCCAATAATGCAGAAAGGAGGCATGGGCCAGTGGAGGGTGTGTGTGGAGAACACATTGGTATTTGTAGCATTTCACCTCTGTGAGTTTTTGCCTGTTTACAAGGCCACAATGATGGCTCTTCTTGCCATCCATCTTGCTAATGCAACCTTTTATGAGAAACCTGTTTCTGTAACCAAAGAGCCAGGGTTTGGATGGCTCCGCTGGAGTCATTGCAGGGGCATGGGCCTAGAATTGCTAACTTGACGGGATATGGCATAGGAGGGCCAGCTTCACTTGTGGCAGACTACATGCGCTGTGATTCAGAATGCCTGCGCACCAAAGAGGACCATGGAGATGCTGGATAGCGTTCAGCGGGGTGCACTCAGCTTGTTTACTCCTTGGTCTCTTGGATTTCATGCAGACCAGTTGTCCTCCCTAGAATGTCGCCTGCACTTCCCCCTCTCATGTAGTTATTCAACAATCAGCCTTATCGTCTAGTCTGATGGGGGAGGAGCAAGGTGAAGCCACTGGTTTCAGTCAGTGGAGCATGAAACTCTTAATCTCAGGGTTGTGGGTTTGAGCCCCACATGGGGCAAAAGAGATTCCTTCATTGCAGGGGGTTGGACTAGATAACCCTCGTGGTCCTTTCCAACTCCACAATTCTATGAAAACATTGTGTGGGACTCTACATTTCATTCTCCAGGCAAAGAGGCATTTCTTCCCCAAAGGATAGGTGCTCTGTGGGAGTGCACTTTTCCATTCACAAAAGGAAGGGCAGACCTCTGGGAGTGAATTCTGCACATATTTAGGGGCTCCCAGCCTTAGATGCTGGGTTCTTTTGGAAACAAGATCATGACGAGTACCCAGGAGTAAGGTCCACCAGCACACCCCCTGTACTTGCTGTTGGAAAGAGGGGCCCTCTGTGAGATCTTCTGCTTTGTTTTTGTTAAGCTTCTGAGGAGAGCACAGTAGTTTTGGAAATTGGTATATTTCTTTCCACCCCAGTTAGTGCCATTCTTTTAATGCATTATGTAATTACTTAGTTGAATGCTGAATTTCAGCTTTAAGCCTCCCAGAGCTCCTGCTCTGGGCCCACCTGCCCTGCCTGCTGGAAGGGGGGAGGCACTGCCTCTTTAAGAGCTGCCTCCTTTGTATGCTGCGGCTGCAGTATCTTGGCTTTGGGCTCCTGCCCTCGTGTCCAACTGCAAAGCAATGAAAAGGCACTTCCCTTGTTCTGGCTTCTCTGTTCCAGCAGCCACACAATGGAGCCTTGTTGTGTCAGGAACTCTGATCTCTTTGAAATAGCCCTCAAAGCTAGAGCCAGGCTCCCCACCCCGGCTACAGGTCTGTGCTCCCTGTCGAGGACAGGGACCCTGCTGCTCTCCACACATCCTCCATAAGGCAAGGGAGCACCACCACGTTCTGCCCCTGACTGCCTGGGTACATGTTCCCCACTGGGCAACTGCAGTGGTATGGCCAGGATGGTAGAACCTGCCTTCTGTTCCTCTGTTGACCTCTGGGCTTGGTCCTGCCTCTCCCCATCTCAAAGCAGCTGAATCAGCAATGCTCCCAGCAGGGTCAAACCCAGACACTCCCCCTGCCTGCAGAGACTAGAATGTGATGCCTGGAGCATTGCTTGAATTCCTCCAGCGGGAAATGTCTGTCTCATGCTGTGAGCTGCAGATGTGAGAATCCACTGTATGTTATACCGCACAGTTGCAGGACAGAGTTCTGGGGTGCATCATTACCTTCCTGTGCTGTGTCCTGCCTCTCTTTCTGGGGTGCTCAACAGGAATCGTGCCTTTTTGCTAGGAAGCCACAGCCAACATGGCCTTCTTAAGTGCTTCTATTTTTGTTTGGGCTCACACATGAGAAAGGAGGAGCTGGCCTGTGGTCTGAGGCCTGCAGCTTCAAGTCACCTTTGTGCAGTGCTCTGCATGTATTCTAGCACTGTTTCGGAGGGTTCGTTTGGACAGTGACAAAAACAGAGATGTAGCCTTGAATGACTGCAGTGGGTTTAGTGGGCCATCTCTTGGAAGTATGACATTGCTGTGTATGTATGACGGCAAATTTTGCCCCCGTTTCCTGATGCTTGTGGCAGCACACCTGCATCCTTAATTCACTCTGGAGGATCAAGATCGCCTTAGATCCTTCCTTATGGTGGTGATTGTGGTGCTTAATAGGAGAAGCCTTGGGAAGAATTCAACATAGCATTCAGTGATGTATGCGTCAGTGGAACAAGGTCCCCTGCTGCAATGGGACTTTTTCACTCATTCCTCCCCATACCTGTTCATGTGTTGTGGGCAGAGGAGAGGGGAGGAAGTCCTATAGGAGAAGATCTTGTTTCACACATGCAACAATTTAATCTTGGCTTTCATGTCATCGGCAATAAACAGCCCGGTTTGGGGAGCTTAGCTTTCCAAAAATGTTTGCTTAAGCATCGATTCCTGAATCTTGAGACTGGGTTGTAGGTTGGCAAGATTCAATGTGAGAGACATCTGTGCCTTTTTTTAAATGGCTACCTAGAAGGAAGACTTTCTGGTTTGCACATAATGCTAAGCCATGGTTTGCTTAACAAACCACATGTTAACCAGAGGTTGCCCCACAGAGAATCAAACTAACCATGGCTTGTTACTCTATGGTCAGTTTTGTTTTCCAGCTGTTCTTGCCTCCTTTCTTTGTACCTTCATCAGTGTCTAGGGTGGGCTGGCCAAGCAAACCGCAGTTAAGGAAGGGTGCTGGGTTCACATGTAACACCAAGCCATATTTAAAATAAATCAGACTTCATAAGCCAATGACAAACCATGGCTTTCCATGTTTTAGAATGTTGCTTCTATCTTGTGAGTCCTGCAGTTGCCTTGACCTTCACAATGACCTTTATTTTTGTATGTTTCTGTGGCTTTCCCTTCCCAGAAATAATTTCTTCCTCTCTGTTGTTCAAAGTAGGATCTAATTGTGTTCAATGGAGCTTTGACAGCTAGTGATCGAACACAGGTCTCTCTAACCTAATATGCAGAAGTCAGTGCAGCAATTCTGTGCTTGGTGATTTTGGAGTGGAGCGGGAAAGAAATGATTTGTGGGAAGTTGATGCTACTCACTATTGAAGCAAAGTAGTTTCTGGCTTGTCTGACTGCTATGCCTGTTACCAGTAGGATCCATCTCGATCTAGCATTCTGTGTCCAACACTATCCAGTCAGAAGCTTCTGGTAAATGCACAAGCAAGGCATCATGTAATACGCATAGCTTGTTTGCTCCCAGAAACCAACAGATACTGTATCTAACAATGGTGGCCCCATAGGCTTGTCATAGCAAATACTGGTTTGGTGTTCCGGCCTCATATATTGGACTATTTCTCCCCTCCAAAAAACCAGCACCACCATCAACCCATAACGACAAGTGGTCATCACACATATTGTGCTGATGAATGCCATATAATGGCATCAACAGTGGAATGAAAAAAATGTGTACGCTGGGTCATATGTTGCATATCCCAAGGGTTTATTGCATCTTCTGGTTACAGCAAGCAGTTCTGGGTGCAATTGTGACTGCTACATCAGTCTCCCTGGCCTGCCACATCATATCCTTGTTGAGATCCACCCATTGTAAGCAACTCTCTTTGTTTCTTTACCCTGGCAGTGCCCAGCGACCTGACCCCTGAGGAGCGACAAGAACTTGAGAACATTCGCCGACGCAAGCAGGAGCTGCTGGCAGATATACAGGTATGTGGGGGATAGGGGTGTGGGGTGCAGGAGGGCATGTGAAGGTCCTAGGTTCAGACTCTGGCATCTGCAGGCAGGGCTGCGAAGTTCCCTGCCGGTCAGTATAGACAGTATTGGAATTCAATGGACCAGTGGTTTTGACTGGGTCTAATGCAGCTTCTTAAGATGTGATCAAGTAATTGCTGGATTCATGGGGTTTGTTTGTATGGCACAAGACTGACACAATACTTCCTACCAGTTCCCATTCCAAGGAAGGGTTGGTGGCTGTTTTGTAGCTTCCACACCTGGTGCCTCTGTGTGTACTTGCTTTCCCTCCTTCACCTCCTCTCTTTTGGGGCTTAACTGTTTTCAGTGCCGTGACTTCGCCCTGGAAATGTGACACACACACAAAAATAGAATGCCTTTGAGCACATGTAGACTTGCTTTATCTTGATCCCGAGTAGCCACAGTGGAAACTACCCCCCCCCACTCCCCAACACACACACCTTGGGTTAGCAGCAAGTGGTTCTTTGTGGACACGAAACCCCATGGCATTTCTTTCTTTGGATATTAAGTGCACGGCTATTCCTGCTCCTGTTCCCCCAGAGGATTCTGTGCCTGCAGCCCTGAGGCTCTGCACAGCAGGTGTCTTGGGCAAACGTCACTGCAGATCAGCAGCCAGGCACAGTTCTGGCCACCCCAGCAGAGGTTGGGGGGTGAGAAATGGCTGGGGGTGGGGTCTGATTACCCAGTGCAGCTTCCATGTCGAAGGATCAAGTTGGTGGGGAGGGGCATCTCCACCCGCCTCTAGCCTTGACCTGTCAGGTTGATGTACCTTATGGACATGACAAGCTAGAAGGTGGGTTACGGATATAGGATTCTCTGTCAACCAGCCCCACCTCCCAGTCAACTTGTTCCATCTTTCCCATATAAGGAAAGATGCTGTAACTAGCCAATATTGGTGCAGACCTTTAAGAAGATGGAGGTGCGCCTTCCAAAGTGATGCCGGGAGAACATCCCCTTCCCTGCGTCCCACTCCTTCCGTGCCCTCAGAGGCAGCATGGCTCACCCTTCCCTTGGCTCTGACATGGGCTGCCTGTTCCTGTGGCAACTTGCTCCCGGGTGCTGGGCTTGGCAGGGCTGCTCATCAGTCCTATCAGCAATAAATAAGGCAGTAGGAGAGGCTAATCACTGCCATATGCTGGACACTTCCTAATGAGATTAGCCCAGTAATTGTGTTAGCCCCAGGGGCTCGCTCTTCTTCCTTCCTTCCTAGAGCTCAGCACGCTGATGCCTCCCACAGATTGGCATCCATAGCCCAGCCTGCCTCTGAGCCAAGACAGGCAGGCTTCTCTCTGGTCTTCCTTTCCCAGGGCAGTGGGTGCCTGCAGCTGGCTTCAGCTGTATCTGATGAGTCTCTGAAGAAGGGAACAGGGTTTCCTCTTACGCAGGAAGCGAGAGATTCTGTTGTTGAACCCTGCTTCCTGAGTCTCCTTAAGCCTCTACCTTGCAGGCTCCTGGATTTTTGTGGAGAAGTCAACTTGGCAAGTCTTTCCTCTGCTCTCTATGCGTTACTTCTCCCTCTGCCCAACCCAACTGATCCTCAAACCTAGATTAATGAGCATGGGGAAAGGCATAAGAGGACAGAAAAAGCTGGAGTAATAATTCCAAGGTGTTCTTTTATTTAAAAAAAGTTCCCCCCAAGAGCCCCACTTGATGGTGTGCTCATTCCCCCGCCTTTCTTCTCCTCTGCAGCGTCTGAAAGATGAGATAGCAGAGGTCACTAATGAAATCGAGAACCTGGGCTCTACAGAAGAGAGGTGAGTGGTGCTTCTGTTGGAGGAATGGGGAAGGTGATATTTTGGGGGGCTTTCTCAGAATAGAAATAGGGTTCTATTTCTAAAGCAAGCAGAAACCTGCACGGCAGAGCTGGCATGAATTCTAACATTAATGGATCTTCAGGGTCAAATCGGCCCACTGAAAACAGAAGAGAACCCCTTCTACCAGGAGCAATACTTGAACGTCAGTCCAGATAACGTTGCACATTTCATGCTGTGGATGAAACAATATCTAAAGGCAAACAAGAGTTTAAACTTGAAGAATAACCCCCAAAGACTTATCAGAGACCCATTCAGATGCCCAGTAAAAATAGATTTGCCTATTTTGCTGACTTCAGTTGTCTGAGGAATGGGATTCCCTTGGTCTGGATTCCATCACACTTGTGTTGAGAATTGACATTTTAATCCTGGCTCTGTTCGCGTAGAGCAGATTTGCTTACATTTGAGGCCTATATGCTGAGCCTCTAGCCTGTCAAAAAAAAAAAAAAAAGATCATACTAATCTATTGAGAAGAATGGGGTGACAGTGGTGTGTGTGTGTGTGTGTTCTGGCTGGCTGTAATGTTCAGTCTCTTTAAGTAACCATGTGGAACGAAAAGCTCCCAGGCTGTTTTGCCTTGAATATCATCAGGGATCTCTGGCCTGGTCTGTTCTGCTAAAGGCTCTAGGTTTTGTCTTGCCCAGAGTCAACCCCCCACCCCCCAAAAACCCCTCTTCTAGGACTGGTCTCGCTTCCCCATCTGGCAGCAGGTTCCCTGTCTCAGGCAGTTAACTCTGAACTGAGGCAGATGGAGTCACCAACAGATTAGGCGGCCCAAATTGTCAATGGAAACTGACATGTGACGTCTCTTTCAATCACTCAGTGTGGCTTCCTTTGCCCATCCCTGCGGACACCAGGCCCTTGTCGTGTAGGGCATCCCAGGAGGCCTCCTCCTCCTCTTCCACAGTATATGGTCTAGAGACTGGTCTGCTGGTATGCCAGTTCCCTGCTGTAGGCTCCATTTTAGTGCTGGGAAGACATCCAAGTTCCACCAAAACTTAGCTGGGGTGGCGAGAGGTCTTCATTATTTCTTGGGGTAGAGAATGTATTTCCTTTTGTTTAGAAACTTAGCCTTGCCGTTAGTAGGGGAGGAGTTTGTGCATGTTCGATGCACCCTGTCAGATAGGGGAATGGAAAGTGCCTCATTTCCTAGCCTGCCTCATATCTATGACTAAGATGTAGGCAGGTGGAGCATTGATGAAGTGGCACAGCCCCATGCTGCTCCTTGCTGGGGGTGTCTCTAACCCAAATCTTTTGTGCCTTCTAGGAAAACCATGCAGAGGAACAAGCAGGTGGCGATGGGCAGGAAGAAGTTCAACATGGACCCTAAGAAGGTAATAAACACTTCCTTACTATGGAGCTGGCAACAGGTGTTGTTCAGGGACCACCACAAGGTCCCTCATTGCAGGCAAACTGGCTACTGTCATCTGTGGTTACTCTGCTTGTGTGTGTGTGTGTCTCACCGTCTCCCTTGCTCTCTTTCCACAACATTATTTGTGTGTCCTGCTCTTGAGCAATTCCTTCCTGTTCAGGAATTCTTGGGAAGCAAGTGCCCAAGATCTCTTGTTTCCCTGTTCCACCCTAAAGGAGAGCTCTAAGGTGGGGATGTTCCTTAGCAGCAGAGCTCACCGGAACATGACTTGTGGACTTGGCATGGTGTTGGGATACTCAGATCTCGTGGGTGACTGATCCTGGCTAATGGCTAGAAATGCCCAAACAGGTACATGTGCTCCTAGGGAAGGTGGACCTAGTTGTGGGCTAGTAAGCCACTGGTGCAAATCTCATGTCAGCCACGAAACCCATTAAATGGTCTTTGGCAAGCCACTATTTTCTTGACCGCAGGCTCCCTCACCTGCAAATATAGCCTACGTTTAGGGCTATTGCAGGCACTACTAAGAAGGTTTGCATGAGACACAGCTTGACCATTTCAAATCTACTATCTGCATTCTGTGCATTATTGGAGGTATTTTGGGTTCATGTACCTGTGTGCCCTGTGCAGGGGCAAATGCAGAGAGACACCCTCTTCTTTCTGTGCTTGCAGGGAATCCAGTTCCTGATAGAGAATGACCTCTTGAAGAACACCCGCGATGACATTGCCCAGTTCCTCTACAAAGGGGAAGGGCTCAACAAGACAGCCATTGGCGACTACTTGGGTGAAAGGTAATGGGAGAAGGGAGCTCTGGGGCTTGGTCTTCCTTTATAGCTGCTACCATAATGGACTTTGGTTCCTATCTCTCATGGGCATTCAAGAAATGGGAAAAGAACTTGGGATCCCAAGAGATCTCTTGCCAGTGCCCCATTGTCTCGAGTTTCCCATGTGGACTGGCGGAACAGGAGTTCATAGTCAGGACCTTGTAGCATCCTTGGCTAATTGGAGGGTTTCTGTGACCTGACCCAAGCTTTGCTTACCTAGTTGTGGGGGACAGCTGAGGAATGCCAACTGAAATTATGAATATTTAAACTGTGTGGGACTTCAGGATCATTCTCGCTGCAGCTGGCCAGTACTGGGTACTTCAGCATTGCATAACACCTAAAGCCTTGAAATAATTTGCCTGTGCTCTGAAGCTTCTTGGAAGACTTCTGGTAACTCCTTAAGAATAGACACCAGGCCATCTTCAAGGCCCAGAATTGACAGATTGAACACTGAATATTTTGCATGCATGCAGAACGTCCAGTTCCTGGCATCTCCAGTTAAAATGATCCAGGATCGGGTAGCAATTAAAATGACGGGGGATTGGGTAGCAAGTCACGACAGAGAACCTTCTCTGCATGTCTTTCCCTGGAGAAAGACTGCCTGTCAGAATAGACCAGGGGTTCCCAAACTGGTGCATAGGCCACCAGAGGTCCACAAACTTCATCCAGGTGTGTCTGTGGATTTGTAGTTGAAGATGGGAGGTGGCAACTCCATAGCATCAAACATTCATAATTGCATTTTTATTGCTTCCTCTATTTCTTACATTGTGTTTCGATTTAATTCTGTGGACACAATAAAATACAATATATAAGAAATGAAAGGAGTAATAAAATACAATTAAAAACCATACCGTGTCTAGCATGGCACATTGCAACAGCCAGAAAAATCATTAATCAGTCTGCCCAGACCATCCGGTAGTCCATGCTGGGGTGGGGAAATGTGGGAACCACTGGAACAGACAATATTGGACTAGATGGCGAGAGAGTCCCACCTGGGATAAGGCAGCTTCCTATGATCCAGGCCAGGGCAAGAGGAGAGCCCAGTTCTTGGCAGCATCAGGGGTTTGGCAGCTGTATGGGATAAGTGAGTTTGGTCGCTCTCACATGTTCCCCTATTCTTTTGCCTCCTCACAGAGATGATTTCAATATCCAGGTGTTGCACTCATTCGTGGAGCTGCATGAGTTTACAGACCTCAACCTTGTCCAGGCACTGCGGTGAGTGGCAGCAGGAGGTTTGTGAGTGAATCAGAGGTGTGCCCTTTTTCTCTTTTCCTGCACAGAAAAGGCAAGAAGAGGACATGCGTGGGCTATGGGGCTCCCTAGGAAAGAGCAGTGGATTGCAGTGCACGCACACAGAGGGAAATATGTGACTTGGAAGTCTCTGGCACATCACACAGCCCTCCTACTGAGGAATGTTACTTCTGTGGCAGCTTAGCTGACTATGTGCTTGTTTCCCCCTCAGGCAGTTCCTTTGGAGCTTCCGGTTGCCGGGCGAAGCACAAAAGATTGATCGGATGATGGAAGCCTTTGCACAACGGTACTGTCAATGCAACCCCGGTGTCTTCCAGTCAACAGGTACGCACGAACTCTGCTGAACTCTGCAGGCAGCAAGGGTTTGGGATGCAGTTTTTCCTGGAGCATCCTCAGAGAGTTCTCGGCTGGGTGCCTTCTGGCTCCCACTGCCAGATTTTCAGGCTTTGTTGCTTGGGAGTAGAGAAGGGCTGGCCATTGGGCCGCACAAAGTTCTGTCCCATAGTTAAAAGTGTGGATTTTGCTCCCACAAGATGGAGGAATGGCCACCAACTTTGGATGGGTTGGAAAGACCCAGTTCATGGGTATAAGGCTATCAGTGGCTACTAGCCGTGGTGACTATGTTCTCTTTCCACTGTCAGAGGCAGAATGCCTCTGAAAAGTAGTTCCTGGGAATCACAAGTGGGGATTTTGAGCTTGTGTTTTGCTTGTGGGCATTCTGCAGGCATTTGGTTGACCACTCTGAGAATAGGATGCTGGACTAGATGGGCCTTTGGTCTGATCCAGCAGGGCTCCCCGTCCAGCCACCCACCCACCCCAAGATAGCAAACAACACAATACAGAGCATGCATCCTGGGACTGGATGACACTTCCTAGGCTACCCAATTGTCTTGAGTTTGTGCCTTGGTAATGGATGGAGCTAAAGGGCAGCCCATTCTGTGCTTGATCCATCCTTCACACCTTTCTCCACCCCAGATACCTGTTATGTGCTCTCGTTTGCCATCATCATGCTCAACACCAGTCTTCATAATCCCAACGTTAAGGACAAGCCAACAGTGGAGCGCTTCATTGCCATGAATCGTGGCATCAATGATGGCGGGGACCTGCCCGAGGAGCTGCTTAGGGTGAGCTTTGTGGGAAGGGAGTGGAAGTAGTGTTTGGAGATCACAGGACTGCGATAAGGGACATGGGGGTGGCGGGTCATTGGAATATTGGAAGCTGCCTTTGTACCTGGTCGTATTTGTCCATCTAACCCACTATTGTCCTGTTGCGTCTGATCTGGTTGACAGAGACTCTCTCCTGGGCCTCGGGCAGAGATCTTTCACATTGCCTGCTACCCGTTACTTTTTTGCATGTTAGATGTGGAGGATTTCACCCGGCACCTTCTGCATGCAAACGCTGGTCCCTTCCCAGGTTGGCTATTCCTCCTGGGAAGCAGGAGTTGGACTTGCACAGGCCCCCAATGCGTTTCTCTTCCTCCTACCAGAATCTGTACGAGAGCATTAAAAACGAGCCCTTCAAAATTCCCGAGGATGATGGCAATGACCTGACGCACACTTTCTTCAACCCAGACCGTGAAGGCTGGCTTCTGAAGCTCGGTGAGTGCATCTGCGCAAGGTGCAAGGCCTCAGCCATGCGGAGCAGTGCGGCTGTCGCCATGGCATAGGCTGCAGGGAGCAGGGAGCTCGGCTGCAGTCTGGTGACTTCTTCGTTTTTTATTTTTTGCATGGGGCTCGGTGGCCACAATCCAGCACAACATATACCCATTGCCGAACTCAGGATGCTTTCCTAATCATCCATGCTTCAGCAGGATGTCCAGCAAGGGCAGTCTTGGTTGCAGTGCTCAGCGTCCCCTAATGGTTCTCTTAACTTGGGCACGGCCAACTGGTTTCAGTGATTTGGTGGGTTGGGGTGCTTATGACAGTGAGGAAGACACATTGGTTTCATGGGCCCCAGGAACAGCAGATAAACTTGGGCTTTCTCTCCCTGCTCCAAGCATTAGCCCAAGACTTGTCTGTGGTTCTGTGCTTCTCACCTGACATTGGAGGCTAGTCTCTGGCATCACCTCCCACATCCCCGCTGTGTGCGCACCGGCAGTGCATGCATGGCACCTGCAAGGCATCCACCAGCCCACCAGCCTTTCCCTGCGCAGCCCTTGACCATCTTTCTCCTGCTCACTCAGAATGTTTCAGTTGTCTTGCCAGGTTATGGCTGGAGCAGCTCCCTGGCTGGTTTGTTTCTCCGATTTCTCTCCCCACCACCTTTAGGGCTGTTTAAATCTCTTGGAATCTGCAAATCAAATTTGAAAGCACAAATCCTCTGAATATTCAAATTTGCAATCACTGAATCTTTAATGAAATATGGCTAATGGAATTATTCATCTATGTTTGAATGTGTAACCATCCTCTTCTTGCTTGGAGCATTTTATGAAATAAAATGGAAACAGATGCTTTTGATTCCAAGGGATTGAGGGAGGATGCACACACTCGAGGTATTCCTGGGGAATGATGTCTGAGCTGAGACTCAGTGCTGAGTCTGAACGACACGCCTTCTAAATCGTGCCCTTCCTTTTCCTTTCAACCAAAGCCCATGCAACAAAATGACAAAGGATTGATAGAAATTGTTATTTAGAACATACATTTTAATTATTTTAAAATAAGAGGTTGCATTGCACGGCAGTGGAGACAGAAATGAGGCTTGCTCAGAAAGCAGACTTAAGGACAGGCTGCTAGGCGCACCATTACGGACACGGATATAACTTGAGAATATTTTACAGTTTACAATTTTAGACCTGCAAGTAAGCAGCAAATATATGGTTGCTTGAAAACACAGTTGTATATTCCAGTTGTAATTGTAGCAAAGCATAAATTTTGTTTGCTGTGAAGTTTCCATTCTTTGTTAAGTATGTTTAGAAAAGATACGTGATCCTGAAGTTCAGCCAGAAGAGAAGGCCTAAGAGATAGTTTCATTTCGGACTGGGAAGGATGTTTTCTGGCAAAAACTCCACAATTTTCTTCCCTAACTCCAGATCCACCCAATAGATAAACAAATGAAGACACAGGAAAGACAATGATCATGCTATAGCCAAGGCAACGGGCTATCAAAATTGATAAACACAGGATAACACACAGCATAGCTGCCTTAAAGTTAAATAAGCCTTGATTGGATCTCATGATCAAATCCTCTTTTCTATTTCTTTCAAACTCCAGCCCGCTTGTGTCTCAGTTCAGGAAGCATTCACCAGATCTATGTTGGTGTGTGTATCTGTGTCAGGTGCAAAGGTGGGGTGGGTGGGTTTGTTTGTTTTTAACACCGGATTTTAAAAATTGTGACTAAAAAACTGCAGGTACTAATGCAAAGAGTGCAGACATTGCAATGAGAACTCAGTTCAGCATGGCCTTTTCCAACTTTGGGAATTTCTCCTGTGGCTAGCTTTCTCAGAGGAAATAGAGAGAACTGGCCTGAATCCTTTTCTTCGCAGATAGGTGAGCTTTTCTGCCTGAACGGGGATGTTTGAATTGGGAATTCTAGGCTGCAGCTATATCCAAATTTAGGCCCCCTGGTTCCCAATACTACCTGTCCCTGTCCCCCATTACATGGGAAGGAAGTCCCCTTGGTCCCTGCGGGACCATGTTGCTGACTTTATCACAAAATGCTAAATCTGCTGAGTTAGGAGCAATCACTCAGACAGCATCCTGTGGTTTTACCCTTCCACTGAGTGCCCAGGACTTGGTAGAGCTTCATTCTGGGATACAGTGCCGCAGGGTGGCGACAGAAAACAAAGACATGCCTAAAATCCTTGGAGAGTGAGATTAATTTGGCCTGTGAATGCTCCAAACTGCGTTGGTAATCACCAGAGGCGATTCCTCGTGTGTACACGATTTTGGGGGCAGGGGCCTTGGCTGTGTTCCAGCTGAATCCCAGCAGCAAATTGCTGATTGCTTCCGCCTGCGAATGATGCATGCCACCCCCACATGGAGGAGTCTGGGCTGCAGGCCACTTTAACAGCTGTCACCAGCCCTGGCACTAAAATCGCTAATTCTGTGACCAGGGAGCCATTTCTGTGGCAAGCAAATTCCTGACGCTGCCAGGATTTCCTGAGCTAGCAACAAGGACAAACCTATTTTTTTTTTGCCAGGAGTTGCTGGGGCTTTTGTGTCCTTGGCTTTGGCACCATGATGACCTCGAGGTGGGCACTCTCCTTCTTGGTATTCTAGCGGAGAGGGAGACCTGCACCACAACAGGAGAAACGTGGGCCTGGTTTTGGGGAAAACCCTTCTGCCAACCCTCTTTTCCCTAATGCTCAACACCTTTCATTAGCTTGGGCAGCGCCCCCTGCTAGCAGCAACTGGGGTGTGCGCCAAGGGCAGATTTGATAAAGTCCTTTGTTTTTTAATTTTCTTTTCTCCCTCATTTTGTATGTTTCCATGATTTTGGCACTGCCTTTCCCTGCCCTCCAAACTCCAGGAGGTACGTACCCCCATATCCCCTCGCTAGCTTTGCTGGGGCCAGGGGTGTGCTGCCATGCTTCTTTATTTTTCTGTTCTTTCGTTCTTTTAAATTGCTGGTGATTATTACTAGTCTTATTGCTGCTATTGCCACCGGTTGCTAACTGGCTGCACAGTCCATGGGGAACTGGGGGACAGGTGGGATGGGGGGGTGACTGGGGGGGGTGACGGGAAGGCGGAGTTTCCATGTCCTGTTTGGCCCACCCCTCAAAAAATTGCCTCAAAGAAGCTTCCCAACAGGGCCAGGTCTGAGCCTGGCAGTATCTCTCTCCCCAGCTTTGTCAGTACCCTGGATTTTTAGGAGTCAGAATCACATTGTAGGATGCAGCGGTGAAGAACCAGACTTTTGTCTGCCCCAGAGGCAGGGGGCAGGGAGGTCACTATACCCCTCAAGAAGAGGCAGCTCCTCACAGCATGGACGTTGCTGTCCAGTATGGCGCCTTTGCTTGAAAATGGCAGCGCGGCCACATCTCTCTGGGAACTGAGACTGTGAATCCGGCCTGAGAAGGTGCATAGCCACTGAGCCTGGCTTACTATTGCCAAGAAACTCTGCTTGCGCTGCTTAAGACTGGCTGCACAGCGAGTGCGCAGCTGCCATCTTGAAACCATCCAGGCATTGGCGATGCCTTATTACCAGCCCTGCAGCAAGCAGCTGGCAAACGGCGGTTCCTTATCCCAGCAGGCATAGCTGTTCAGGGTGGTAGGGTGTTCACGCATGTCTGCGCTGGTGCTACCTGCACTTACTGCACTTGCCCCATTATATTACTGCAGGTCACATGACAAGCCCCACCCCCTGCCTCCCAACATACCCACAGAACTTTCTATGCCCCACTGAAAGCTCTTCCCCTTGGGTTTCCCCCCTTCCCATTAAGCTGGAAAAGGGCAAAGCTAGCATTAAGAGAAGGCCACATTCCTTTCATGGAGAAAATATCTCAGTACATTTCTATTAAAGATTTCTCGACCTCTTTTCATTTAAAATAATTCCCAAACCAAGAGATAAAGTTTAGAACTGCAAAAGCCTGGTTATTAACGTAGGACATTTGTCCTGAAGGGCCCTAAGAATTCACAGGCAGCAGAAAGAAGGGAAGGCCTCTTGGAACAAGGACTAATGAAGTATTAATTGTGCTAAGCTGCTGCATGCTGGCAGCCGCATGGCATTGGAGTCCCAGTTGGTGGAGGGAAGAGGCCCAGAGAGCTAGGGAGGCGCTGGCAGCAGTGAGCTGTTAAGATCTTGATTGGGTAACGCGTCATGGTTCTTACCAGTCCATTTATAACACTGTAAATCCTTTCCAATCCTTATCCCGCCTAACTCTGCAACAACCCTGTGGAGTAGGTCACTGCTTCCATTTTTAAGGGTAGGGAGGTGGAGGTGGAGATGGGGCCTTGGCCACCCAATGGTTCCATGTCTGATGAGTCTTCTGTGCCATCCTCTGGAGAACATCGACTCGCGCGACATCATAAACAAAGGGAGAATGTTAATTTGTTTAATGTGATAGAATCACAGACTTGTAGAGTTGGAAGGGATCGCTAGGGTCTAATCCCCTGCAATGCAGGAATGTTTTGCTCAATGTGCGGCTCAAACCCACTACTCTGAGATTAAGAGTCCCTTCCTCTGTCCCAGATGTATTAGCCTAAATTGCAGTTAGCTTTTTAAAGAGTTTCTTGGCAACTAGAATAACTTAAAACAAAGAATCAGCAGAAATTCTTGTGGCTTCTTTCTCTAGAAGTCTCCAGACCGCTAAAATATATATCCAAAGTATATATTGTATATTCCTGGCTTCTAAATTTAATGCCATGTCGTGGCGGAGGAGGAAAAGCTGCATAATGAATGGGCAGGGTCTATTCCCTCAGCTTCTTAAAACTGACAGCAAATTGGAAAACCTCTCAAATAACGTTGCTTCATGAACATTTGGTAGCCAGCTTAAAAGATTTCAAAACTTTGTGGACTTGGCTTATAGCAGATGGGACACACTCACTGAACAGCAACCATGGCTAGTAACCACTGGTTAATATCCTGGTCTCATGAGCTTATTTATACTCGTCCTGAGGGAAAAATACTTTGGGTAATAGTAGTTGGTTATTCTAGCTAGTTATCCCTTATTAGGGGATGCAGGTGGTGCTATGGGTTAAACCACAGAGCCTAGGACTTACCGATCAGAAGGTTGGAGGTTGAAATTCCCGCGATGGGGTGAGCTCCCGTTGCTCAGTCCCTGCTCCTGCCAACCTAGCAGTTTGAAAGCACGTCAAAGTGCAAGTAGATAAACAGGTACCACTCTGGCGGGAAGGTAAACAGCGTTTCTGTGCGCTGCTCTGGTTCGCCAGAAGCAGCTTAGTCATGCTGGCCACATGACCCGGAAGCTGTACGCCAGCTCCCTCGGCCAATAAAGCGAGATGAGCGCCGCAACCCCAGAGTCGGTCACGACTGGACCTAATGGTCAGGGGTCCCTTTACCTTTTTTTATCCCTTATTAGCAGCTTCGCTTGGGGGCTCCTTAACAGGGTGTGTGGGGTAATGACACACCCCCCCGCTTTGTTCACAAGGCTGTTGTACCTCAGATGCTGTTCTAGCATGAAAACAACTTTGTGAGTGAAATTCCAACTCGGGTTTTTGCCTCAGACCCTTAACACAACCTGTTTGGAACTTGCACACACTAAAAAGCATCTTTTGTCTAGTGCTCCCTAGAGATGTTTCACTGTGTACTCTTCTGATAGGATGGTAGCAACCTGCCTAATACCAGATCAAACCATTGGTCCAAACAGTCCAGTATTGTTTACTCTAAAGGTGGGGAATCTCCAGCACATGGGCTAATCTCGGCCCGCATGGCCTTTCCCCACAAATCCTGGTCAGCTGAAGAGTTGAGTCTAAATCCTTCTACTGGGAACAGGTGTGTATAGTCAAGGCAAGCAGAAAGTAGTGTTTTGCAAGCAAAGGCAGAGTGCTGGTGAAGTCCCCCTCCACTGGCTTTCCTTGCAAAACACACCTTTCTTTCTAGTGAGTGGATCCTCCTTTCAAGGGAGGGGAGTGGAAACTGCTTCCAATTGCACTTCTCAGCCTTAAGACTGCGTTAAAGCACTTGCCTCTGAAAGTCTCCCCATCCCGACATAGGGTTTGAGGGGGAGCAACATGAAGGCTTGCAAAGCCATGCCTGTGTGCCATGTGGCATCATGTGATGGGTGGATCAGTAGCCCAGTCCACCTGTCAAACTTGTCCCATGAGGCCAATCTCATGGGCCTCTGTTTCCTCACCCTGGTCTACTCTTGACCGGCAGCAGCTCTCCAGTGTTTGGGGCTGAGAAGGGCCTTAAGATCCCTGGCATTCCTCGTAAAAGGCGTGTGCCCCAGCAACAGAGAGCGAGGATCCCTGCAGTGGCTCTTCTGAGGTTGGCAGTGGTTGTGCAGTGGGCCACCCCATGATGCCAGGGGCTCCCAACAGGTGGGGTTTTCTGTGTTCCCTGGGGACTGTGGCAGGCACTATCTGGAGCAGTTGGCTTGTTTTGTCTTTTTTCCCCTTTTCTTTCCCTTCTTGTGTTGCTGAATGAGGTCTCATTGTTGTATGTGCTGGTCTGTGGCTGTCAGGGCCTCCTTAGGAGGGGTCTCTAGTGTTCTGCACCTTTTAATCTCGTTGGTTCATCTCCACTGCCGTGGGCTTGAGAGAGCAGCCAATGCTGACAGAAAATACCCAAAGTTGTTGCCCTCTCCACCACTGAGATCTTTCCATCTTTGCCTCCCTGTCCTGTATTCCCCACCTCTCTTGGACGTGCTGTTGTTTGCAGCCTCTGACTGGCGAGGCCAAGCGAGGAGGGCCTGCAGCTATAGCATTCTGTCGTTTTCACAAGTGAGGTGCAAGGTGGCTTTTGCTGGAGGTGATCCTGGGGGTATCTTGGTGTTCAAAACGACCCCTGCTGTATTGACTGGCGGTCGCAAGGTCTCTCAGGATCTGAGCTGTCTGGTATGGATTCTTTTTATTATTATTATTTTGGTGACGGCTTGTGCAAAAACTTTTCCCAAGACCCTGGATTTGGATCCTGGACACTTGAGTTTGAGTGTCAATTTGGGAAGGGCCACTGGAGTCTCCTGTGTTTACTGATGGGATGGTGGGTGGGGGCATCTTTCTGAATGGGTGCCAGTTCTAAGCCAATCCCCCTCCCTCTCACCTCACCCTGACTAAAAGTCACCAGAGCGGGATTCCATTGAACTTTTATTCTGAGATGGGCTGATACAGAAAAGACTTTCAGGTCATGTTTGTATCTCAGGCCCCACCCCGCCTTTTGGGTGGAGCTCTGGAGGCCCAACTTAAAAGCCACACTGGGGCAGGAATGGGAATAGCCGGTTCCTGTAGTTTCAATACTCATCCCTTTTTAATCCTGAAGCTGCTGTTAAGCTCTGCTTCTTGCCTGGAACTGTATGTACCTGGGCAAGCAAGTCTCAGGGACAAGAACCCATAGCTGAGAAAGACTGTGTTGTCTGTTGGGAAGACTCTTGGTGTGCCTTTCTTTTTAAATTAGTTGGAGCTGGCTATGAGGCAGGATGCCTGGGTAGCCTCAGGGCAAACAGAGTCCCATGGAGCTCAGACTCTGACTAAGCTATGAGCGTTGTCCATAAAGAGCCTAAATAGATCCCAGCACTAGCAGGACACTGTTGCCTCTTCCTTCCCCAGCATGTCAGCAGATCCATGTCTGCTCCATAGTATATGCAGCAGGGCACTTCTCTTGATGACCACCACCTCTGCCTTCCGCCTGCCCCCTTCAGCTGCTATGCTCGCCATGTAGCCACTGGCTGCTGCTGCTGCTGTGGTGTGCGGCCGGCTCTGGCTCTGCTTGCGTTGCTGACGCCACTCGCTCTCTTACACCGCCTACTTGTGCCTGTAGGCTCTTAGCTCTGCCTTTGCCTTAGCTGCTCTTGTGCCCAGCACCCTCCTTTCGGCCTGGGCATGCATTGTCAAGCTTGCTTCTTCTCTGCGCAGGTGGCCGGGTGAAGACGTGGAAACGGCGCTGGTTCATCTTGACGGACAACTGCCTTTACTACTTTGAGTACACCACGGTGAGTGGCACAGGGTGCTCTCGTAAGTGTCCACGGACATGATCCCATGGCGGGATTGCTAATGTGCAGTTTTGAAAGATGGACTATGGTATGTAGTCTTAGGCTCATGTAAGAGCCCAGGACATGGGTTATCTGGTGTCAACTGCATAGCTGAGCTTTTACTGATTGGTGTGGGAATGGTGTAGAGCAGGCTTCCTCAACCTTGGCCTTCCAGATGTTTTGAGACTACAATTGCCATCATCCCTGGCCACTGGTCCTGCTAGCTAGGGATCATGGGAGTTGTAGGCCAAAAACATCTGGAGGGCCAAGGCTGAGGGAGCCTGGTGTAGAGGTACTGCAGACTTGGCTTTAATTATTTCATATATACACACATACCACCTTTTCCCTCTGACAAGGATTCAAGGTGGCTTACACATTACAATAAGAACAGCTAAAAACATAGGAAGAAAAACTCTTAATTATTAAAAAACAGTTAGTTTTAAAACTATAAAGGTTTGTTTAACTATCTAAACTAACTATATATTATTAGAAAGGTACAGATAATTACTTTGAAAAAAGCATGGCACCAGCCCTTTCATTAAAAGCAAGTCAGTTGCCCAAAGCCTGTTGTAACAAGAAAGTCTTCAGCTGCTGGCGGAAGAACAGCCAGAAAGGAGCCAGTCAAGCTACTCTAGGGAAGGAGTTCCAGAGTCCGAGACCAACCACCACAAGGCCCTCTCCCACATCCCAAAGGTGCCTGTGAGGGTGGTGGGACTGAGAGAAGGGCCTCCCCCAAAGATCTCAGATCCTGGGCAGGTTTGTATGAGGGATTGCAGTCTTTCAGATAGCTAGGACCTAAACTGTATTGGGCTTTATAGGTTATATAACCAGCACTCTGAATTGTGCCTAGAAACAGACTGGTAGCCAGTAGACCTGTTGTAACAAGGGGCTCTCTATAAGCAGCCCCAGTCTACAATCTGGCTGCAGCTCTTTGAGCCAGATGAAGTTTCTGGACACTTTTCAAGGTAGCCCCATGTAGAGTGTGTTATAGTAATCGAAACGGGATGCAACTGAGGCATGTGCCACTGTGGCCAAATCAGACATCTCAAGGATATATATTGGGTGCAGCGCATTCTGTTGTGGACCCATGAAAGCGAATGCCCTAATAAAGCTGTTAAGTCTGTCAGATGCCATGGTTGTGTTTGCAACAGTAGGCTACTCCTTTCAAATGAGCATTAAGGATGAATCCTTCTGAGAGCAGTGTTCTTCCTGTTCAATGTTGGGATGGAATAACCTGTAATATTTTGTCAGAATGAACCAGCCTGGATGTGTCTGAATTAACAAATTGTCGTCTTGCAGGACAAGGAGCCACGAGGCATCATTCCCTTGGAGAATCTGAGTATCCGTGAGGTTGAAGATTCCAAGAAGCCCGTGAGTAAATGCCAGTGCTGGAGAGCACTTCCTACCTGGGGGGAGCCTAGGCTGCGGATACTGTGTGCATGTAAAAAGAAAGAAAAGGATGGTACCAAGAAAAACTGAATTATGCAAATCATTAACTAAGCTTGCCTACTTTTGTAGAGTCGAGTCTGATTCTGCCATGGGGGAAGAGGCAAAGCTATGCAAGGACACCCAGCTGGCTACAGAAAAATCCTGCGCAGGGATAAGCCAGGCTTTTGAGACTTGACTCATCTTTTCTGCCCTAAGAGCAAAATGCTTGATGTGTTTAAGTGGATGTTGATGTTTGCAAGGTGATGTTAAACCTGCACAAAAAGTACTATTTTCTGTGCTTTTGCAGTGCAGGATATGCACTGTCTTTTGGAGGTCTCCACCCTGTAGCATCTGAGCTGTTAGTGACTGCACTTGGATAATGCTATCAGAGCTTAAATAGCCCAGATAGGAAAAAGCCCCATTCCTGTTCACAGCTAGTTCGCTCCTTCCTCTGCTTTGTGATCAATCCAACCAAAAAGTCTCCACCCATAGTTTCCTTGTTTGGATGAAATGGGGAAACTGTGGTTAATCAGTGATATTTCTAGTTTGCTTTCTTGAGGAGCAATGGGGCTGCATGTGTGGGTAAAAGGCTTATTCATAATTACGTCTGATCCTCAGACAGCTTGCCAGTGATTTCTATCAAGTCGTTCTGGCCAGGAATGCTGACCCAGCTAGTGGAATTGTAGGCCCTTGATGAGAATTGCCTTCCCAGAGTGTTGCATTGCTGTCAGGAAGTCATACCAGAGAATTGGTTACTTGCTGTCGAAAATCCTGTAATTCCTGCTCTTGAAGGATGTCTGGGAAATCCCTGGAATATGCAGAAAGTTTGAGCTGGTGTTGGCCACAAATCAGTTCTGTTTATCCTTCTCTTCTTGCAGAACTGCTTCGAGCTGTATATCCCTGACAACAAGGACCAGGTGATCAAGGCTTGCAAGACTGAGGCAGACGGGCGTGTGGTGGAAGGGAACCACACTGTCTACCGCATCTCTGCACCCACCCCAGAGGAGAAGGAAGAGTGGATGAAATGCATCAAGTGAGGAGGGGCAGGAATGATGTGAAGGGATCTGGGTAGTTTGCTTGAGCAATGTGTCATTCATTCATTCATTCATTCATTCATTTGTATGTTGCTTTTCTGCACACACACAAATGCTCAAATTGGCCTACGACAAAGAAACAAAGGTGCATTTCAAACAAATACTACAAAACAATTTCATAATAACAAACCTCAAAAAGCACATTCCAGCGCTTATAAATATATCAAAGATTACTTAAAAATGTACATCCAATAGCCCAAATTAACAAGGGAGCTTCAGTTTCAGCCTTAGCCCTAGAAATATGCCTCCCATGATGTAGCTCACAGTCCCTCTCCTGCAGCAGCTTCTTATAAGGCTTACATGGGCAAAGGGTGGAGTAGCTGTAAACACCCCTCCCATGAAAAGAATTATTTCCCATTCCTCTAGATTTCCTCACTGTGAGGGAGGTGGGGGGGGGCAACTCTGGTTAGGTGGGCACCTGGAATTTTGTGGAGGAGATGTAGCAGCTGAGAATGGGTCCTCTCTATAGCTCCCTGGTTGAGATTTGCCAGTGGGTTGTGGGTTATGAGGGGGAAATAGGGCAGCCCTTAATGAAGTGCAGTCCCCTTGATCTTCCTGCTCCCTCTTCAAGCTAAATAATGCTTCCTTCCAGAAACAGTCGCTAAGGGGGTGGACTGATCCTATAATTATGTGCTGGGTGGCATCTCCAATCAGTTGGGGATTTCCCTTAACACTTTGTGGGTTTTTTTACTCTCTCTCTCTCTCTCTCTCTCCACCCCCACCCACCTCCCACTTGTCTCTCTTCAGAGCTGCAATTAGCCGGGATCCATTCTACGAGATGCTTGCTGCACGCAAGAAGAAGGTCTCCTCCACCAAGAGACATTAGCCACATGGCTTTGTTGAGTAGCAGTGACATTGGCAGCTGTTGCCTCTCCGTCTCCTGGCAGAGAGGAAGAGGAGCGAGACGACACAGACCCGCCTGCTCTGCATTATGACCCCAAGGGGGGACTAGCTTCAGCTTTTGCTATTCTTTTCTGGTTTGGGGGCAGGAAGAGTTGCGGGGGGTAGGCTATGTTGATGGCAACCACCAGCTCTCACTGACTTATTTAATTTGCAAGAATGCCATCTCCCTGCCAGCCCCTCAGCTGGGCAGCTTGAAGCCAAACCACGTCACTGGTAGCCCAAGTGGCAGGAAGAGAAGAATTGTTGGGGTCTTTTCTGCTACCGTGGCTGACTTGTTCCTTGCCTGTGCCGATGGTGAGGCAGACCTATTCAAGCTGCCAGCGAGAAGTGTCGGCTGTACCAGGCTTTAGGCCTAATACTCTCCGAGACCCTGAATCAGGAATGGACCACAAACTGCCAAAGGCATAGATCAGTCTGCAGCAGAGGTTGGGGGCATGGCTCTCTAGCACTGAAGCAGAGAGATCCCTGTGGCCCTCTGCATCGCCATGTTGCTCCCTGTTCTTTGGACAGGTAAGCCCAATGGCTTCTTTCCCCCAAAGCAGTTGAGCTGTATGCTCTTTCATGTTTAATTTCCAGGGTTCTCTGTCGCAAGGTGTTTTATTAACCACGTTGAGTAATAAGCAACCAAGAATGTCAGTCCCAACAGCTGGCATGATGAATAGCAAGGCTGCCACCTCCAGGATTTCCCCTGCCCTCGTTCTAGAGGGCACTGACTTAGGCTGCCTCGTATGTGAAGCAGGAATGAGGCCAGCAGAGGGCTCACTCAAGCAACCTTGCCCAGATGAGAAGGCGGTGCTCTTGTGAGCTAGCGGCATGCATGTGGTTGTGGGTGGGCAGGATGCTTTACAGGGAGGCTTTTCACCCCTTTGCCAGTGGCTGCTGGGAAACCCTCTCACCCAGCAACTGGGCACAAAAATTTATCCCTGCAGCCAGAGCTTCCTCTGTTTTTTGTTTGTTTGTTTAACATTGCAATCGGGAGCAGGCAGAGCTGAAGAGAAAAGACCTGCACCATTCCCCGCTACCCTGAAGAAAGAAGCTGAAACAGGCTGGCTCTGGATTCTTTGACATAGGCTATCTTCTTACAGTTGCACTTTTCAGTAGAGGGAGTGGATGGATTGGGATGAAGGCTGTCCTGGACAGTGGGGGCACTTCTTGGCTCTGAAGCACAAGCAGATGATTGGTTGCTGGGGAACCATTGGAAGCCCAGGGTGGGTGGGGTATGAGATGATGGCTTATGCCTGGAGCACTGAGCTGGGGTAGGCCGTAAGAAGACGGTTTTCCCCGACTGTTGATTTCATTATGCGCCTTGGAAAAGCTCCAGTTTTCCCCAGCTCAGTATTAATCTATTTATCGGAGATGTACATACTCTCTGTATAGATTTTTCTCCTTTTAGATTATTTTGTATTTGTTTTTAAATAAGAGGATTGTTTTCTGTGAAACATAGCAGAATTCTAAAAAAAATGCTGTGGCACAAGGGGGGGGCAGGAAGCAAGGGGGTTGCGGGAGGAAGGTGGAAGTTACTCCTGGTCAAAAAGTTTGGTTACAGTTTTTTGTGTTGAATCCTTTTCCACCCCATTGTTGGGTTTTTGTTGCCACAACCTTGTGAACTAGCACAGAGCAACTGCAGCAAATAAATGTTGATCTCACACTTGGCTCTATGCCCTTCTTTGGCTGCCTCTGTCTCTGTGATCTACATTTATGTGGTTTTCCTATTTGAGGTTAGTAGCATTACATCAAGCAATTCAGGGGCCTTGGGCCAGTCTATTTAGATCTGTGTGATTGAGGACATTTCGGTAGCCATACTGAGGAAGGGTTTCATTGTGGCTTCCCTCCCCAGCTTTAATTTTTCTTTATCTGCCAGGGGAAGCTGCTGGTAAGATTGGTTTAAGTTAAGGGACCAGAATGTAAAGCATTCATCTGGCTTCCCAGCATTGACATTGGTTACTGATAGCTAGCTGCTATCAGTAGCCAGATGCAAAGAGGTTATAAAGCGTACATTAGGAAATGAGGTTACAGTGGGTTGTATTCAAGCTCGCACTAAGGCAAACAGGGCAACAAATTCTCCTTGCTCAACAGAAAGTTATTTCCCCAAACATGTTCTGGAAAATCTCCTAACCCTCTGGAGCAGAGCTTGGGGATTGTGTGTTTGGGGGTGGGGAGATGGGAGTGGACGTCCCACTGTGCTAGCAGAAATCCTTGCACAGGTACAATTATTTAACTGGATACTGCCCAGGGTGTTGTTTTTTGAGAGGGGCTTAGAGAAGACCCTGGTGGATTTGGGATAAGACAGCAGGCTACAGTGGGGCCCCTAGTCTGTGGATGATTTGGGTTTGCATCTCCACAGTACAGTAGTGTACACAAGCTGTGGAACCTGCAAGTTGTTATGTTTGGGGAACAGCAAGAGCAACCCACTTGTGGGTAAAATGTAAGCATGCCTACACTGAACCCACCTCGTCACAAACCAGCATAATGTTAAGATAGTGTTATGTCTATGCCTTTCCCCTGCATGGCTTTGCAAAATCAGTTTTTGTTTCATCAGATTCTGGATTTTTAAAGCTGTCTCAGGGGATGTGCCTAGATGGGGTTTACATGCCAGTTGACCTCTATCTATTATAAAGCTTTAAAATCTTAGTAGCACTGTATACTTACAGAATAACAGGATTACCTCCAAAAATAGGCAACAATTGCTTTGTCTAAATAACATCCAGCAAAACTTAGGTGTTCACCTCCAGTGTGTCTCAGATTCTACAAAAGTGAATTAATCAGTCAGACAATTGCATTCAAAATACACATTAGCAGAACAAAGGTGGTGTATCTAATGCAGACTTTCTTGATCACCACAGCTCTTCCTGATAATGGAGCAAGTGGGGTTGAACTTTGGCTAATTTCCTGCATGGGTTCTTAGTAAGAACTTCAAAATTCTGCTCGGGTCCACTATATTTCTTTTAAAGATCCCTCTCTTGCTAAAATTGGTTCAACTTTTCAAACTCATGCAGCCTGAGCAGCAACCAGCAGATGGCACCAAGGTATCACATTTGGGTTTGTAGGGGGAAAGGAATGCTTATCTGCAGAAATTACCTTACCTTAAATAATCTCTTAACACTCTAGGCTGTTTTTCTTAAGGAATGTAAGTTTATAGCAGCTTTGCAAAATGGTTTTCAGTGCCCACAAAATGTAAATAAGAATCAATGTGCTATCTGTGGTGGTAGTGGGTAACCTGGTTTGATTAAGTCATAGGTGGGATGAATATGTTAGCAATGCTCATGCTTCTCATGATCTTCCACCCCTTTCTCTGATATCCAAAGCAAGGGGTGGGGGTTCACCTTGCCTAATATGTGGTCCCTGCCTGGCCTCTATGGGCGGGAAAGAGGATTCTCCTCATTTCCTTTTATGGCAGTGGTAGCAGTAAGTGGAGGAAGTGCTCTTTCTAGATGCTCTCAGTACCACATCAGGACTTCTGGCACTGTAGTATGGGGAGGGCATCTTCCAATGCTGCTATTTCAGCTTTTAGGGGAGTAAGGAGGAAGGGTGGATGCTTTGGGGTCATGGGGAGGTGCAGATCAAAAGAAACCAGGAACCCTCTCTCCCAGATAATTTATTTTAGTCCAGAGAAGACTTTAAGGGTGCCTTAATAACTTGTCCCCTCCTTTTGCAGTGCCCCCTTAAGAACACTGGGAGTTTGCTTCCAAGCTAAGCCATGCTTTAGGCCGACATCCATGGCATCACTGTTGCTTCTGAAAATACTGTAGAATGAGTCCCTGCTTGTTCTCCACTACCATTTCCACTTCTACTCTTATCTAGTCCTCTTTCAGGGCTCCTGATTAGCATCCTTCTCCAGCTTGTGACATCATATCCCCACCACCAAACCAATTTAGTTGGTCTAACAGCGAGACCTGTACACTCTCTCCGCACAAGGTTCTTTCTCTGCCAACCTGGTCCTGTGTATGGTCTTCTCAGTGCCTCTTATTCTTCCATCATGGATGATTTCAGCAGCAGGAGCCACAGTATCCCTTGTGGGTTTCAAACCAGCTTCCTATGGCATTCCTCTCCGTTGCAGTCTGCACAGAAAAAGGTGTCCGGGAGGATCTGTACCTTTGGGGTGAATATGTAGTTATTGTGCCCTGGAGTCCCAGGAAGGTGACCTGGAAAAGAAACTGCAATTAGTCTTACAAAGAGTGAAAAATGGGCAGCACAAAGATATCCAAGCAACAATGATTGCATTTTTCAGTAGTGGTGCCTAATGGCAGAATACTTTATGCAGTTATGCGCCTCTTAATGCTATATTATTTTTAGGAAGCTGTTATTTTTCATTACCGCTCCCTCAAAAGGACATTAGATTGAGCTAGTTTGAAAACAAGAAAAATATTTGCTGCCTTTTACTGCACCAGCTTTTGCCCTAAATTGTCTAGATATCTGATGGAAGGCCTGAAAATGTCTTAGATTGGAAATTACATGGTGATTTGAAAGTAATTCACATGCATTTCCAACCTCCCTGGAGATGCTGGTGATTGAACCTAGGAGCGCCTGCATGCAAAGCTGATGCTCTACCAGTGAACTACAGTCCCCCCCCCAATCTACATCACTCCCGGTGCCAGGTTCTCCATAATTTTTAAAATTTATATATGTGGGGTTTGTTAAGCACCTCTCTAAGCCAATCCCCCAGGAAGCTGCTTTGACTTCAAAGAACAAAGGCAGAATCATTAATACCCTGATGAAAGGTCAGATATTCAGAGTCAGACATGGAAAGGGGTGGCGTGCCTTCTCCAGCTGTGTGTTACTTAGCAGAATTGAGAGGGGGAGATTGCCAGAGAAACAGGGGTATGATGTCACCACAGAGGTTTGGGGAACAGGGTTTTCTGGGAAGGAGGAGCAAGAAGTGGGTGGAGCTCTGAAGTGTGCTGGCTGGAAAAGGCTGCACCGAGAAGCATGACTGGCTGCTGCTTTGGACCCAAGCTGCTGACAAGAGGAGCAACGAGAGATAGTCTTGGGATGTGTTGTTCTGCACCCCCACCACTGAAGGCTTCAGCTGTAAACATGTATAAAATAAACCATATTTCTTAAAGACACTAGTCTCTATTGTGCCTCATTCCAAAGGAACACAAACCCAGGAATCTCTTGCTACTGCTTGACAGAGATTGGGGTGGCCTGTAACAATATAATTCCTGAATGTGATACATTTTCAGTGCCCAATGCACCCCGATTTTGCTGTGTGTGAAATAGTCTCAGTGGAGCAAGGGGTTTTATCTCCATAAAGAAGCCTTTCCCTCTCTCTGATAGTTTGTCCACTTCCACTTTATAAATTCCTGCTTCCTGCAAAGGGAAGCGCACAGCTAACTTGCTCTGCTTCTAAACTCAAGATTATGAAGGTTTAATAGTATGAACTAGTGTGACTTGCAGCAAAATCTTGAACTATGGTATGCTCCTATTGAATGTTCCAGCCATACCTTCTTTTGGGACACTCTTTGCAAGTTTAAGGGGATGGGACTGGTTGGGGAGGCTCAATGGGAATAGTATTGGAAGTGAGGCTCCCCTCCTCCCAAGCAGTTGCCTCATTCTGTCTAATAATAGGACCAGCCATGGATCTGGAGAAGTAGAGCTGGGGGGGGGGGGACTTATACAGAGAGACATAGTGGTTAAGAGCGGCAGATTCGTAATCTGGTGAACCGGGTTCGCGTCTCCGCTCCTCCACATGCAGCTGCTGGGTGACCTTGGGCCAGTCACACTTCTTTGAAGTCTCTCAGCCCCACTCACCTCACAGAGTGTTTGTTGTGGAGGAGGAAGGGAAAGGAGATTGTTAGCCGCTTTGAGATTGCTTCAGGTAGTGATAAAGTGGGATATCAAATCCAAACTCCTCCTCTTCTATTGCCAAGAGCTAATTTCCATTCCTACTACTTACACCATCTCCACCATCATGCCCTAAGAGGCCCTTCCCGACACTGCCTGCAAATTTAGGAGCACTTTTGCAGGCGGGAATCTTGCAAATGTAAACAGGAACCATTTCATGGGGCAGCCTTAGGTTTAGAGAATGCCCCTGCTGTGGATAGCAGTGCAGAGTGAATTTGTAGCCCCAATTTTTTGCCTCACACAATTTGACATAAAATAGCCGAATAGAGATGTTCCTTCTCCCTTGACTAGGTCCTCCATCTGCCCTTCTGCTCATCCATGACAGAGAAGCATCAATATGCTCCTCTGACCCTACTCTTCACTTCACAAAAAGTAACCAGTGGTTGGTTGACACTGTTAGGCCACACAGCAATCTTAACAGCAAATGAGCATGGCACCTGCGGGAAGAAATGTATTTTGCAGGCTGACTGCTGGGTCAATCCAGTGTTTCTACAACAGAAGCGCAGCTCGGAGGAAAATGTAGCAAGTGTGAGAAAAATTAACACGTACCGCTTGTGCACAAACAGCTTTGACTTCCTCCGCAGTGTGAAGAATGCTCTAAAATCTCCAGTCCACTTACCACTTTCTCAAGTGGCAACCATAGTATAACCAGGGGCCATCTGAATTAACCTGAAGTCTCACCTGAGAATGGAAACAGAAAGATGTGACTTAGTAATCATTGAGGAAACTGCTTGTTTGAAAACAAGTACCTTCAGCTACTCAAAATTGCTGAAATAATCCTCCCCTGTAGAGCTCAAAGTGGTAGCAACATAACATTTGGTACAGAAGGGCTCTTGATCTGTGAAGAAGTAAATGATGCCTGTGGTATTTTCTAGAAAGAGATAGATGGTGCAGAAAAATCACGTCCTTAAAACCATCTTCCATATACCACTGTATACCATATACCAAGACAAAAAAGGGAGAAAGCAGAAATACCAGGATGACACACACACTTCTAAACCATGAGATGATAAAGGTGATAAATGCCTGGTTTATAATGTATACGGGCTACACCTATAAGATGAACAGTAACTGGTTGCCCTACTTGATTTCTGTTATACGTACAACCTTCAGCCAGGTATCCACATTAGGACCACTCCCCAGAACAGAGGCCTCCTGCATGCTCAGGGCCAATATTTTCCTCAACTTTTGCCTTTAGGAACCACTAGATGGCAACCACATAAAAGTATCTTACACAAATGGCCCCGCTTAAAGGGGCTCTGGTCACTCCCAGAACTGGGTGGGCTATGGGAGCAGAAAAAAGCTGTGGGGGGAAGCAAACCCACACAATTCCCCCCCCCCAAAAAAAACCTCAAAGTTCACAGAGCTGATGCAGAAAGAAACTGCAAGACATATGTGAAGGGGTGTAAAATAAATTTAAAATGTGAGGGGTCGATTCAGCTGCAAAAGGCTGCCCACAGACATTGCCACAAAGGCTGCCCACAGACATTGCTAATGCTCCCTCTGCTGGCTTAGTCAGACCTGAGCAGAGATACAGGCTGGAGATTGTGTCTCCTCAGCTCAGCTGGCCCCAGATATCATCTCAAGGTCAATTATGCAAAAGTCTCTCCCACTAGCTGTCACCCAGGCATGGCAAAGCGTCTGTTCAGTTCTGCACGCTGAATGACTCTGCTGGACAGAACAAGGATCAATAGTATGCTAAAAGTGAGATACAAATATTCTTCTTGGGAGAGGAAGGGGAAAACAATACAATTTAGAGAACCACTGGCTTGAGGGCCTGTAAAAATAATGCCTGTTTGGAAAGCCAAGTCACTTGCTTACTTAGCTCTGTTATTGGAAGTTGGTGGTTGGTGTGTCAAAAGCGAGATTCATATTTTTAATTTGGTAAAGCAACAAGTAATGTTGTCTTACAGGGCAAGTGCTTGAGGGCATATGCTAGCACATTGTTCTCTGTGCATAGCATTAAAGCAAAGGAAAATAATGCATTTGAAGGATATTTAAATAATTAAGCTTGAAAAGGCACAGCTTTGTAATAAAAGTAGGGCATATTTTCTGCCTAGGGAGTTTCCAAAGCACAGAGTTCTCAAATAACAAATTGTAATCATCAGCGCTGGGAGCAATTTAGCTCAAAGATGTGTGTAAATCAGAGTTTTTTTAATATGAATGTTTAAAAATTCCACATATATTAAAAAGCTCTGCACTTTTTTGATCTACACACATCTTTGAACTCATTGCTCTCAGAACCAACAATTACAGTTTGATGAGTCACCAGAGAGGCACAAGCAACACAACATTTAAGAGAGCGCAGGAACAGACATCCTGATAAGGTGCATGCTGGGATTGTTTGAACAGGGAACAGGTGAGAGCCTGGGGCTCCAAATGTAAGAAGATGGGGAACAGGTTATGGCAGCTCCCAGTTTCTCTCTAAGGTAACTTCATGATTTGGCTTCTGTATTTTAATTCTAGTATTAAACCACTTTTGTGAAAGCAATGTCCACTTCTTCATGGACCATGAAATTTAGATGTTGTTATAAAGCATGGTTTTCAAACAAACTACTAGATTTTGACCACTAGATTTTGACGTGAGAAAGTAAACACTTTCCTCATCAGGGTGTATTAGAAGAAGAGAACCTGTCAAGATCCAGACATGGAAAAGATTCAAGGGTATTCACATAGTAGGTGATTGACTAGTTTGGGATTTGCCTCAAAAAAGCTACACAACTTCAGAGACAAAGCAAAGTAACAGTACTTAAGTCATTAGTATCAGTTCTGCAAAGGCTATTCATGCTTCTTGAAAAAGAGTATTAGCACAAATAACTGTACTTATAAAGGTCACTGAGCATGGAAGGTGCTGAACCACATGGTCTAGGCAGCCCTTATGCAGATGGAAATGTGCCAGTTGTTCTTTAGTGGCCAAAGCATCCTCCCAGCACATGGTCAAATTGAAGCCGACAGGTGCTCTGCTATATCTGAAGGATGGGTTCAGGCCTAGACTGAAGTGGAGGGAGAAAAAGGTGGCACATGCTGGCAAACAGCACCCTGCCCCTTCTGTTTTGCATTCCTGCCACTGCCTGAAGCAATGCAGAAGCAAATGCCCTTTTGTAATGGGCTTTATTACAGGGTTTGGCCTCCACCTGAGGGGAAAGAGAGGAGGGGAACATCTTGCTAGGCCAAAGATGATTGGGAGGGGCAGAGCTAGTCAGGTACAGGGGCACTAGGAAAAGCAGCTAGCCAGATAATGCAAACAGGAGGAACTGTTTTGAAAGTACTGTAATCTTAACCATGCCAACTCAGAAGGTAGTACCTCTGGTGGGCTCATGCTCCTTCTGGGGTAGTTTGTCCACCTTTGGTCCCCTGTGGCTCTTAGAAGCTATCAGCATGCAAGAGCCACCACATCCTGGGAACGGCTCAGACAGTCCAGCTAAACCAGATGAGGGTAGCAGATTGGTCTCAAACCCTCAGTGAATTAGGGATTTCCCTGGCAGGCGAAGACAGGCTTGTGGTAGATTGAGTGGGTGAGACCAACAGGGGGTCCAATGGTGAGGAAGGTTGTTTCTGCAAGTGCTGTAGGTAGAAGTGAGGGGCAGATGGGACTCATCAACTTGGGAAGATAGCCCATCTAGCAGAAGGAACAGTCTGACCCTAAACCTCCACTGCCTTGCAGAACATCTTTGGGAAAAGAAAAGGGCAAGGAGTAAACCCTACATAAATCCAGAGTGGAGTCCCTAAGACAGTTGTATGGTGCCTTGTTTGCCTCTTTCCAGCAACTCCAACATCCAAGCTGGTAACAAATGTATTGCTCTTCTTTCCTTTGAACGACATCAACAAGGCTGAGAGTCTTGTCATCTGCGCAGCCCAGAACCTCCACACACACTGCCCAGGCTTGTGCCCTGAGAAGATCACATCGATCCTGCTAGTGCAGCAGTTTGACTTTGCCCCTGAAGGAGCGCCCCATTGTCTTTCAAAACAGACGGATGCCAACAACTCCCAGATAAACTGAGTTAGTATTGTCTTGCATGGGTACAGTGTGTATAATCTCAATGCAAGGCATTGTGAACTGTTGAAATCTGCTGCTTGCATGTGTGTGTGTGCATGCAAACAGACAAAATTGTATAAAATTGTCAACCAGGCATAGATGATAAATTTTGCTGTCTGTCTGATAAGTTTTCCACGAGTCCTAGCAGGAGATAGCAGCAGTAGGAATAGCAGCCAGCAAGGTG